AGAAACGGCAAGACAATGCTTGAAAGGCCTGGATTTAAGAGTCGACGGTAATAGACATTTGCATAATACATCCTAAAATTGCTGCACGAAAACAAAAGATGAATAATCGTTATGCAATCAAACTGATAACATTCATTACACCTAGTCATTCAATTGTAATTCGTAGTTAAGCGAACGAGTGGATTACGAAAGCGCGCACACGGCTGAGAGAGAGAGAGAGAGAGAGAGAGAGAGAGAGAGAGAGACGACGGTTCCGCTCGAAAATGTCAATCGCGCAAAGGGGAATAACAATGCTCGAGCTCACATTTACATATATTTTCAAAATCCTCGCGCAATGGTCATATAAACGCTTTCCTGTCACGGTTACTCAATCCAAAAAGTGCGCACGAGGGCAATTGGATTTTCTTCCCGTACCCGCTAAACAGGAGACTCCTTGTGCGCGAGGGAGATAAGGTCGACCTCCGTAATCCCCACGGTGCGGTGAATATTTATTTCGGTCGGCGAAAATGCCTCTCGCGGAACTCGAAACTCGTGGGCGCCTCGGTTAAGCTGAAATCCAAGCCATTGCGGTCCGGTTTATACATTTGTTAGTCACACGTCTGCCTCACTTCTACGCACTCACATCGACATCCGATTTTCCTTACGATCTTTCCACCTCCGTTCTCACCTTGTCCCACCTCCCTCGAGTCCTCCCGCCGCAGTCACTGCCAAATTCTCAAAACGACCTGAACTTTGGTTTTAAAGCTTACGAGCCTGCTTTTGTCGTCGCGTAAAGGCCGAGCGAGCACGAGGGATCGATGCTTTCCACCGGAAACGATACGCACGCTCGCTAGAGCGGCATAATCGAACTTACGCATCGGCGAATTAATTAAAGCACCGAGCGGATAAAGTCCGCATTCTCCATTCATCATGAATTTTTACGTAATTTCAAGCACGAGATAAAAATTTGTCACAATACAGAGGCGACACGATTTGCTTTTAATTTTCCTTTTCTCCGTTTATTTACCATCGCAATTATCTTGTTTATCAGTTGCTTTTTCATGCCACTGTTATTGTAAAAAACAATTGTGCCGACGCCCGTGAATGCGAGCACACTGTGGAAATTCCAACAACCGCCACATTAATCTTTCATTCCTCACCAACTTCACCCCCCCCCCACCGCCACCCGCAGTCCAAACCCGTCTTCTCGGCTCCTATAATAAACAGACGATTTGTCCATTGACAAAAAGCGCGTCTTTGTCGCGAGTGAGCAATATGTTGCCCCGACTTCCTTTTGAGCGCTCGGGCTCATTGACACCGCTAGAAAGGCGAATCACCGCCGAAGCTCATTGAGCCCGACTCAGAGCGTGTCCCGGGTGTGTGGTGTGTACGTAACGTCGATCCCGTGCTTACCCCCCCCCCCCCCCCACCCCCCCCCCCCCCCCCCCCCCCCCAATCCCTCCCTCTCTCTACCACTCCATGCTTTCGCTGTGAAAGGTGTAATTTTGGAATTCCTCGGTAGAGGCAAAGCGCTAGACCGGAGGGTTCCGGTCCGCGCACGCGCTCCCCCCACACACGCACACGGACATGTAGATGGAGCGAGCCACAGCGAGCGTTTCGAGATTCGCTTTAAATTGCCCAGCGTGACCGCCCCCGCATCTTCCTCCGCAGTCCCGATCCCACCCAGGTGTTTAAACGCGTCGTGGTTGCTCTCTCTCTCTCTCTCTCTCTCTCTCTCTCTCTCTCTCTCTCTCTCTATCGACTTTTCCGCCGAGTCTCGATCGAGACTTTCAGCCTTCTCATTTCACTGACCGGACTCTGGCGCATCCGCATTCGCGTTTACTTCCCAGATCCACTTACGTCTCTGGAGAGGGACGACGGCAGCGGAAAGTGCCGGGAAGATGTATATTTCGTTCTTGCTGGACTTTTGCTTTCGATTTGCAGAGCTCGAGAAGACGAGAGTTAAGAAAACACCAGCGGGCACCCCTTCCCTCTTCCCTCGACTAATACAAAAGCCCATGGCAAAAGCACCATTAATTAATATAATAACGAGGCGCCGGGAGTACGAGAGGTTATGCGTTTGAAAACTGGGCCAATTTGCCAGCGGCTTTCCCATCAATTAGCTAATGGTGGGGATGGGTGGTGATGGGTGGTGAGGAAAAAACCGTCGCGAGTTAGTATAGATGAGCCGGAACGCGGACTATCCTCGACTTTCATCGCCCCGTTCCCAGGCCCGTGGAAAGGAGCGCGAACGAGGCAAAAGCGAATCGCGCCTCGCGGCGAACGAACGACGGATTCTCTCACGCGCGCCTCCGCGCGACACCTCCGGCTTTTATCCCGCACGTTTACAATGGCGAGGGACGAGGGGCGGAGGGGCGCGAGGTCGAAAAATCGACGCCCCCGGCGGATGATGGGAAGCACTCGTTCCCCGAGATCTCGGCCCTCCTCCACGAACCAGACAATGGGGCTCCTGCAAAGATCGGCCATTGTCGAGGGGGTCCCGGTCGATCGGAAAATGGTCCGCCGATCCTTTGCAGCTCTTTTCCGCCTCTCTCTCTCTCTCTCTCTCTCTCTCCAAAAATCGTCTCTAGCATTCCTTCTCATCATCTTTCGCCGTCACCTACAGACGCACTCGACTCTGTGTTTGCATGCGAGGTTGTTCCCCCGCCTCTCGCCATCAGATCTCGCCGATCCGGGCGTTTCGCACCTTATTAGGCTGGTAGTACGTCACGATATCGCGCGAGTATCTCTCTCTCTCCCGCTCAATGAATAGTCGAGTGCAGACAGTGATCTGCCATCGAAATTCATCCAGGATTAAAGTCAACGTGGCGTCGAGTACCGATCGATTATCATCGGACGTGGTGTGTCGTAAGGGGCTGGCCCATTCGGAAGGACGGAATCTCTGGTCCAAGAAAGCCGCGTCGCAGGTCCACCCCGGGCTCTGGCCATTACCATAGACGTTCACACGAACGGGGACCGAAGAAGCCGTCTCTAAGCCGATGTACGTGCCTGGGATGCGTTCGCGGGGGCATGGCAAGGCTTGGATGCCGAAGCGACCGACCGCTCATTCTCATGCGTCCCGTAAAAATACGGGAGACGCGTGTTTCTGTCCGGGCGACAATGTGCATGCGTCGCCTTGGGCCAGGTATGCGTCGCATTATTATGCATACACCACGCAAATTCGAATTTCGACTTTCTTTCCCTTTTCCTCCTCCTCGTCCTCGTAGTAATATTAGTACTTGTAGTGGTGGTAGTAGTGGTGGTGGTGGTGGTGGTGGTAGTAGTAGTGGTGGTGGTGGTAGTAGTAGTAGTGGTGGTGGTAGTAGTAGTAGTAGTAGTAGTGGTACTAGTAGTAGTAGTGGTGGTATTAGTTATTGTTCTGGCTGTGGTTGTTTTGGCTATTGTTGTTGTTTTTGTTGTCGCTGTGGTAATCGTGGCTGTTCTTGCTGTTATTGTTGTTGGTGCTGTTGTGGCTGTGGTTGTTCCTTCTTGGCCTTGCTCGCTCGCCGCTTCGCGAGGGTACCAACGATCGCTTGCCGATTCGTCCAGTTCTTGACCAGGAGCCCCGAGATCCGCTGAAGGGTGCCGGTGCTGCCGAGGAGTTGGCGTAATTTTTTATTTTAACACCCGATCAGTCACGCGATGCACTTGAACGTGAAACACATCGAAACTCTATCTTGGGAGTAGCCGACCGCTCTCGCGATTGTCCGGGCTTTCTCATTTTTCAGAGCCTCGTGAGAATGGGGATGCACCCATAATGGAGGAGAGCAATATTTTATGTTGACTGTGTTGGCGCTCGTGCGACCGCATCGGTATGGACGAGTCCCGTCCACGCCATTCCCGAGATCACGACCAATAATTCTTCAAAATGCTCGATTTTTCTTCTCTTTTTCTTTTTCATACAATAATAATAATGGACGGCGTCGGCGTCGGCGTCGGCACTCGGCTCGCGTCGAACGAAATGTCGCGCCGCTGAGATATGAGAGGCAAGTAGTGACGCACATTAAATCGTGTACAATGTAAAGAAAGAGACTCTTAAGCGCTAATAGGCCGACATGTCTGCTACGTACGCATTGCACGCAACGACTAACGTTTAGTTTACTTGCGGAGAAAGCGAATGAATATCACGTATGTGGAATATCCATCGAGCCTTCATTAAAACAGTGTTTTCCAACTGCTTTCGAATAATAATAGCGAGGGGAGTGGCTATTGATCGGGCTATTCCTTCGCACAAATTGCATCACTTTGACATTTTCATTGGAACGTTAAAGCAGTGTTAGAGTAATTGTGCCTCCTCCAGCCCTTTTCCACCCGACCCACGATACACACTCTATTTACGCATCTCGTAATCCTTTGGCCAACGCGTGAATTTTCGATTTCGTCGAATATTCCAATCGGAGGCATTGATTACGAGGGGGTAAAGCCGTCGATGAGCCAGCGTGTAATTAAAAGTGCAAGTGTCCGGAAGTGCGTAAAGAGGGATAGGATGTGATTGGGGGGTAGGTGGTACGGGGTTAGAGCGTAAGGGAGGGAGGTGGAGAGAATAACGATAATCGCAATGACGAAAAGAGACGAGCGAGACAGCAGGCGAACTTTTAAAAGACGGTATAACGCGCAAGGAGTTGGAGCGATAAGTTTATTAGGCTACCGCGGCCACGTTTATAGCGTCGGGGCGCACCGAAGGAGCCAGCGACGAGCGTAGGAGGTAAGCGGATCTATAAAAAAAAAAAAAGAAAAAAGGAAGAGTAGCTCTCGAGGGCCACTCGTTCCAACTTTCGGTCCACGCGCGCTCTACCCCACTCCCTTCCGCCGCCATCGCCCTCGCCCCCACTGCGAATTGCTGCTGTTGCTGTTGCTGCTGCTGTTGCTGTTGCAGCGGTGGCGGTGGCAGCGGCGGGAACGGCGGCGGCGGCGTCTATAGTAGTAGCAGTAGTGGTGGTTGTAGTGGTGGTAGTGGTAGTGGTAGTGGTAGTCGTAGCGACGGTCCCAGACGCCCCCGCCAGGAAGGTCGGCGTCGGCGGTGAAGGCGCGCTCGTACCTCCGGCGTGGCCTCAGTCGTAATCGAGCGCCGCGCGAGTCCGGACTACGCGCACACGCACCGCCAGTCGTCTGAGCCAGTGATAAAGCGCGCGACAACTCGTCATGGTCCGCCGTTCGATGACGCTCGTTTGCCAGGCAAACACGAGCTGCGTGCATTGACGGGCGGTTGTAACGAGGAGCTTCGACAGAGCCGGCACCCGGGACCTGGACGCACGCTTCGGTGACGGTAAGAAAGAGGAGCATCGACTGGGCCATATAACACCTGTCTTTCGAGTGTCCTTTCGTCATTTAATCGGGTATTGTCGTGCGATTGGTGGTGCAGCCAGCTGAGGGACGGCGATAAGTTCTCCGCGTGCTCCTGGGCTGCCGTCCTCGGCAATCGTCCAATTGTCACGTGATCGCGAAGACCACTAGCCCGCGTGGCGCGACTTTCTCGCGCTCCCGTCCGTCACAATAACGCCTACGCCTACGCGTAACGTGACTACGTGAGCTAGAATCGCAGGAACGGCGACGGAGTCCCGGGTTATATGGGATGCTGAGATGGTGGGTGATTGCATCGTGGAAGGTATAAGCATAAGAGTGAATAGGCGCTCTAAAGTGGGAAATCGTGGGCGGGGATGTTTTTGAGGACGATGGGGTAGGATTTTGACGCGCCCCTTGACCGGTGACAAAGCTTTCCGAGGAAGCGAAACTTCCGCTTCGGAGCGAAAGCTGGACGGTGATGAAAGGGGCCGCTCGCGATGCTCGCTCGTACGGAAGACAGGGTGCGCGAGGTCCGTCGTATCCTTGGGGATCTCGCTAACGAGGCGATCACGCTTTTACAGGGAGAGAGCGGCAGGAGGAACGTCATCGTCAACAGGAACATACGACGGCATGCTGAAGCACGTGTCGGTGTCGCCGTGGCGGGGTCGCGCCGACAGTGTGAGCCTGGCCTCGAGCGGCGGCGCCTCCAGTTGCGGAAGTGGCAGCCCCAGTCCTGGCCATACACCACCACCCTCGAGGGCGTCGTCTTGCGCCTCGCTCGCACCCCTCACCGGCCTCTCCAGCTTCTCGAGTGCCGACGGCGCAGCCCAGCAGGTCAGTGACAATATATGCCCAATGATTATGAGCGCGAGACCGCTCCGGCACCGGCGATTCTCCCGGTTTCCAGTGCGTTCGCTTGGGATGCGCGACCGAGCCGACGGGCTCAATGACAATGCCGCGTGTCTCGGCGCGTCCTGTTGAGTCGGAAGGTGGAGGAGGGGTGGGGGTGGGAGTGGTACACGAGAGGCGTAATGTTTAACGCGTATGCGTCGGAATATTAATCGGCTGACATCACGAGGCGAATAACTAGGCAAAACAGATTGAAATTAATTGAGCCAGCTGTACTTATTTACGATGTCACTAAGTGTTCTTCTCTCGCTTTGCGTTTATTATGTGCGGGCTGGGATGTGTGTGGTGTGTGTGTGTGTGTGTGTGTGTGTGTATGCGCGCACGCGCGTGGGTGTGGGTGTGGAGGAATGAAAAAACGTGTCGCGTTGCGACCCCGCTGGAATGTCGTTTAAAACTCTGAGAAGAAGCAGACGATCGGCGCGAGGGAGGAGAAAATGAAGAAGAGGATGAGAAGGAGGAGAAAGAGAGAGGGAGCGAGAGAGAGAGAGAGAGAGAGAGAGAGAAAGAAAATAAAAAAATAAACGATAAATCGGAAAACAAAGTCTGTCGCATTGGGAAGCCGAGCGGTAGCTGGGCTCTTCGATTTCTCACGATCAGCCGGGTGAGGCCAGTTAGCGAGTGCAATGTGTCGTGTGGTTTCGTGTCCTTTTTGCGCGCCAAGTAACTCGATCTCCTCGAGAACTCCCGCGCTCCTCCTCACTCACTCACTCACTCACTCTCTCTCTCTCTCTCTCTCTCTCTATCTCTCTCTCTATCTTGAAGCGTTGCTACTGGTGCCCGAGAGAGTTGGAGAGAGTTGTGAAATATATCCAGAGCGGTGTGAATCTCGCGTGTATATACATCTCCTAGGTATATAAAAGCTCGTAAGCCTCGATCTATCTATCTATCTATCCATCTCACCCTCGCCCACTTCTATCTTCCCCGCTCCCTTTATCCCACCCAGTTCCCTCCGCACGACCACCCTTCCACTCGCTCCACTGCACTCCACACGCATGTACACACGAACACGCCCGCATTCTCTCTCTCTCTCTCTCTCTCTCTCTCTCTGTCTATTTGTCTGTCTGTCTGTCTTTGCGTCTCATCGTGAGCCGTGTCTCCGGCTTTCGTTACATGTGTTGCCGCTGCCCTTTTTTCCGTAACTTTGCATACCGTATGCGCAACACGAGGGGACCTTCGAGGACTTTATTATATCGGAGGAAAGTGGGCTTTGATGGAGCAGAGGGGAGACAACGGATGCAGGATTACCGATGGCGTATTTACTTTTCCATTTGGAGCTTGGCGTGCGGCAGCTTTTGACATTCGCTGCTGCAACTCTCAGAATACCCGAGAGATAGAGAGAGAGAGAGAGAGAGAGAGAGAGTGAGTGAGAGAGAGAGTGAGAGAGTGAGAAAGAGAAAGATTTGTGGTAATGCCTCGAGAGTCAGGCTAATTAATAATGTGCTTGTGTGTTTTAGTGGTGGTCGGGGGTGCTGTAACTTTCGTCGTAATTTTCAATTGTTATCTTTATAGTAATAGTTGAGCGTGTAAAGACGTCGTTTCCGTAGCGTAAATTCCATTCGCGACGATTTGGCTGGTTACGCGCGCGAGTTTATTTGCCCATAAGATCATGGCCACGACTGCTTTCCACGAGCTTCTGCGTCGGTATAAAAATGTAAACAAATTTTATCGGCCGCTATTCGTCATTTGACGTAAGCTCGGCGTGGAAAGGACCCGCGATTGGGAAACGAAGGCGTGGAGGGAAAGGGCGATCGGACCGGAAGTTATGTCCGGCGCGAGAGAGGAGGAGAAACGCGAGTCGTCGCGTACTTTTCACTCCTCGAAATATACAAGTGCCTTTTCATCGGGAGGGGGAGAGGCGCAGAGGCGCGCGCGCAATACGCCGGCTCATCGTCGTTTTTGTTTCAAAGGGACCAGCGAGAAATGCTTTCTGTGAGAACTTCTCGCTCCGACTCGTCGCACATCCCAGCCAACCAACAGAATTAAAAAGGCATCTGGTGCTAAAGCTCTAGTTTTATGATCTTTTTGTTTACAGGCCCGATAAAAGTAATACACACACTGTTAATACCCTGTTTTTTAAGGCTACTCCCCCTATTTGAAAATTTGCGCAATTTAAAGCGAAGCCCGCGGCGGCATCATTGACAAATCGAGCGAAAGTCAAGTTTCGATGGATTAAAACGTCGAACGGGATGCTTTGCAGTTATTTCTCTCTCCTTTCCTTCGTTTCTTATCTTTTGCTTTGTTTTGTTTTGTTTTGTTTTTTGTTTTGTTTTCTTTTTTTTTTGTAGTTACTATTCGCTCAATTTTCGTATTACATTCCTATTCGTAACGTGAAATACTACTCGTATTCGAGCTTTGGTAAATAATAAATTAGTATTACGCATCCAGTGCGCAGCCTAATGCGCTACGTAGAAAAAAGAGAAAAAAAAGAAACATATTTCTTATCTCTTGCATCTCAAGTGATTATGTTTTTAGATCAGATCGATGCTACGCCGTGTTCTTACACTTATGGTTAAAGTAATGAAAAAAGAATAGTCATCGGATACATTTCAAGTGATCGTATAGCCTTATATTATGAAACGATAAATATAAAAACAATTGACCTATTAAATGCGAGCATACCATAAATAGATCGAATTAATTAGTGTGGCGGGGTGAAGGTGGTAGGGGGTGATTACGGTGCCAAATTTTTAATATGCAAGTTTCTTAAATGAATCATTAAGCGTATGCTTATTTACTCGAGATCGTAACAAAGAAACCACAAAGTCCGGCTCGGCTGTATACGAGTACAATGATTCCTACTCTCTTACCACTGACTAACACTTGTAAATATTTTCAATAAATTGCTCATTGGCGCTCGTACCATTAATTATCATAAGCAAACGAATATCCGAATCGAATATCTGAAATAATGCCAATGGGTCTCGACGATCTCACCCCTGCGAACGTCAATCAAGATCAAGATTTACAAAATGTGGAGCTTAAGCGATGGATTATTCTTTAACGATTGCACGCGGGCAATGTGGGCAATGTGGGCAAAGAGGCAAATACGATCAACGTGCGCTTACACATTAATATTCGCGGCACCTGTTGCCGATAAACGTCCTCGAGCCCCAACTGCGATTGAATCCGGTTGGCCTGGGGACAACGAGTTATGCCATAAGACCACGAGGCTTACGACCCAGTGGCCGTCTTGGACATTACGTAAATGGAATTGCCAGCACTTCTCACGATTCCCTTCTCCCGCCAATACTTTATTACGCGAATATTGGGAAGTACGCTCGCGTGAATTTGCGTCATGGGTTAAAAGAATTTAATGGCAGTTTCGAGAAATTCACTGGTATTACCGAGCTATTCTAGCATCACTGCGGGTGAAAATTTGACGTTCATCGAATCATCCAGTTTTCTTATTACCTATTTATTAAGCATTTTTTCAATGGTATATTTCAATTAGCCTCTCTCATTAACTCGATCGCGAATTAACAATTAGTTAATTTAATATTAGTTAAGAATGTGAAGTGGTATTACGATTATATATTACCAAATTGTTTATCGTTACAAATGACAAATGAAGAATCTCCATTGGCAGGGTATAAATTACTAAAGTTACAACAATAATACGTCAAACTGTCCGACGTCGTATTTGTCTTGTAATGTAAAGGGTGTGTGTGTGTGTGGGTCGATGGGCGTATGAGAGAGAGAGAGAGAGAGAGAGAGAGGACGACAAAAACATGAACTTGATTTGTGAGGGAGAACAACAGCCAGTAAAGTCGTATTACAGCATACAGTTGTAGCAGGCGCGATTCGTTCCGGTACTGATCGCGCGTAAGCAAGAGAGACACGACCTCCTTCTCCATCATACTCTCTCTCTCTCTCTCTCTCTCTCTCTCTCTCTCTCTCTCTCTCTCTTTCTCGTTCCCTCTGCCCTTGCAATATCCGCGCGATGAGTGCGCCGGCCCGTGCTTCCGGTTTTTCTTTTCTCCCTCTGTACGCGACTCCACGCCAACAATGCCGCCGCGTACATTACACGGGCAGATGTAGCGAAAAATATCTCGCAAGGATCGCGATGTCCTTCGCGCACTTTTATTTTAATTCTTCTGCATCCATGAAGAATCGCTCTTGCGCAATGCTAGCCTCCATTGTTCTCGCGATCCTCGATTTTCTTGATGTTGCCGTCGAGACCGGATTTTCGCGCCTAATGAAAAGCGAGTATTCAGTCACTATTTCTCCGGGAATTGAAAAGTCCTGAAGTCGAAATTAGCCGCCATGAATAAGCGAGATAGAGAAAATCCTAGCAGCCTAGATCACTGATTTCTCTGACAAATCGATCACTCTACTCTACTCTACTCAACTCTCTCTCTTTCTCTAATTTACAAGCGTTTAAAAATCTCGATATCTGCTACCCTTCCGCCATCCTTCTTCCGTCTAGTAATCAATAGGGCCCAGCCCGGCCCGGCCCGGCCCGGCCCCTACCCGCCCGTACTAGTTCCATGTTGACGACTGTGGGCCGGAAGCCGAGCCGTTGCGCTCCACTGGACCCTTTGGGGTACCTGACCTCCTGCCACTCTTGCATCCATCAATCGCAGAGTCGATCGTTGGTCCAGCATTCTTTATCTACCGCGGCACGTGCTCCGTGCACTGCACGTGCACTCGATGAATGACCGAGACGGACGAGCACGGCTGGATCTCGATTACCTCATCGATCGAGTCGCTCCGACCATGTGGCGCGCCTTTGAACTGCTAGAATACCTTTTGTGGTATGGCCGGCAGCATTACCGGACGCGAGCTCTTTCTCTTTCAGCCGAATCCAGTAATCGCTACGTGCGCCGCTACACCGTTGATCTACTTGTGCTGCTCGAGTCGGAAGCGGCGCTAACGCCGCCGACCTTACGGCTCCTCTACCCTCGGGTTTCCTATAGTTGACTTGG